TTTTCCCTCTCTTCCCATCTCTGGCTTGTCTTTTACAGTCGACGATAGAGAGGAGGGGGGGAGGGGGGGGAGCGGGCACATTACACCCCCCCCCCCCCATTTCCGTTGCCACTTTTTCTGGTCTAGCTACTAAGCGACAAGTGCTACTCAACAACAACACCATTATAAGCTGTTACTTGCTGAAACCATTTAGCTGTAAGGTAGTATCTTGATGGTTGTAATACTAATATTGAGTTATCAGCTCCCTCGCCCAAAGAATGCCAAGCATTTCCACGAGTCTATACATGAGGAAAATTCGCGCCGTCGTACACTAGTTAGCTCGCTCCGCTCGCCAATTATCTACGACCGTACGTCGTCCAACTGCGCATGCTCCAGGATACGCGCTTCTTTTATCCGAAGATTCAAACTTTCACGTGCTGCCAGCTGTGCCTGTGATGATGACGTGCGTATACTTGTGCATTTAGTCGGGGAGCTGCCCTTCGAGAGTGGGAATAGAGACATCGTGCCCGTGAGACTCCTGAGCAGAGAGGTCGTTGTATCAGCGTCGCTTTCGTGATAGGACGCGCAAATTTTCACACGCTACCTAGCTGTGATATAGATGGGCAAATTATAGCCAGCCAACAACTCTCGAAATTTGCTGCCATTCGCTGCGCTCTTCGATACCTGACCGGGCTGTCTATACCTCCTTCCAATCTTCGTGATTCTAAGGTTCAAGTTGTAGGATGGCTCGTGCAGCTGAACGTCATCCCGTCCTCTGCCCTGGGCCTCCACCTTCCAGACCGGGAATTCCGATTCTGCTTGCAGTAACTGGCTGGGCCCCACATGTTCTAGGAGGGTATTAGGTGTCCTGTTTGTCATGTCCCGGCTGACTCCTTTGGGGACCATCAAGTGGGTTGCGGAGGAAATTGCGACAGAATCCTCCGACATAACTCCCTTCGGGATGCAGTTTTTTCAGCAGCTCAGTCAGCTGCCTTGGCGCCCCGAAGGGAAGTCCCCTCTCTGGTCCCCGGCACCCGAAGCCGGCCCGCTGACATCTATCTCCCCTGCTGGAAAAGAGGCCGCCCTGCCGCCCTGGACATCACCGTCATCTCTACACTACAGCAATCAACCGTTCGGGGTGCTGCAGAAAATCAGGGCCATGCCCTTTTAGTTGCTGAGGAGAGAAAGTTTGCTTCTCACGGTGCAGCCTGCCAGGCCGTTGGCATCAGTTTCATCCCTCTCGCCATAGAGTCCCTAGGTGGCGTGAGTGATATGTCTGCTGACACCATCTCCAGCCTGGGCCGTCTTTTGGGTCAGCGTTTGGGGATCTCTCCGGTCGAATCTACTCGTCATCTTTACCAAAGACTCGCAATATCTCTCTGGAGGGGAAATGCTTCTGCCTGGATTCACCGCAGTCCACAACTTGCCCCCTCCCTGGATGGTGTTATTTGACTCTGTGTTGTTTTGCGTTGTGTTTTGTTGTTCTTTTGTGTTTTTTTTGTTTTTTTGTTTCTTGTTGTTGATCTTGTAGTTTAGCTACATGTATATACGTGTTTTTTTTCCTTCTTTTTCTTTTCTTTGTATACAATTTGTTACTTGCAAATACGCCTAGGATTTCTCGTGCACGTACTGCTGCATGCCAGCTGCCTGGTGGACCACGATTGACGACTTGAAAGCATAAGGTAAGTACCGTCTGCTCACCTGCTCACCGTTCTGCTAATTTACAATACGCATATAACGGTGACAGGTAAATCTGTCTTGCTTCACGAAAGGAAAGCTGTGCGCTGACGGCACGTTATACAGCCCGGGCAAATCCCAAGTTGGGTCGCTCCCGCTCGCCAACAATGTTCACATTTCCACTAGTATACATTTATTGCAACTAGAAAAGTATAATTTGCAGTTAGACTGGAGTGTTACATATGCGCACATCCTAACAAGCCCCACCTTCTTTTGCTATACATAAGTCAGCCTTTTGAATTTTATTTCACTAGCCAAGGCCAACGCACTAGTTGCGCTCTTGATGAACTAGGCAAAAGATCTTCTTTTTATTATTTTTTCATCTCAGGAGTCCAACTTCAAACTATTGGCACAAACACACAGGATAAACTGCACTGGATGTCCAGGCAAAACAGGTTAGTGATGTCAGTACCTAAGCTGCACAATCTGGGGAGGGGCAACAAACAGCTTCTCTCAGATGATTTGGGCGAAGACCTGAAGGACCGGTGCCGGTTGAGAACAGACAGTTCTGACAGGGGGAAAAGGAGGAGGTGCTGGACAAGAGGGTAAGGTTGGAGAAGGGGCCTGTGGGTGCTTTTCCTGCATCTCCTTTAACACTTCTGGAGAGGGCGAGGCAAGACCCTCAGAGGTCAGGGCTTTGATTGGCATCTTGGACAGCTCTCCTTGCCCGCTTTGCATTGTAATTACGTTGAGTAGAGGGGGAAGCCACAGACGAGTTCAGACGTCGAGACATAGTCTGGCCTATGTCTACCGCTTCCATCCACAGAGAGAGCAGGTCACCAGCAGACCACCTTCGTAGCCGGGACCTCACTTGCTGGAGAATTTCAAGCCAGGGTAGCCGATGTCCAGCAGCGGGGCTAGCCAAGACACACTTAGACAGCATGAACAGCTTGCACAAATGTGTCAGGTCCGCTGGATTGTTGGCAACTGAGAGAAGGCAATCACTGAGGGCCCTGGACCAACAATGTGGTGGTAAGTGAGGGCAAGGAGCCAGCCACTATGGTTGATGGAGGGTTAGTAGAGACAGCAGGAGATTCAGGAACGGGATCCTGGGGGCGTTGGAGAGGGTCCTGAGAGGGCGTGATGAGAGAATGTTGCGGAGAAGCAGAGGGAGTATACGTACAGACGTGGTGGAAGGGCCGCGATTCTGACATCTGTCATGAACACCGGATAAACACCCTGAGCACGGCTTACAGCTCCTCACACAAGCACATCGTATGCACTTAGAAGGGTAGATGAGTTCTATTGCTACGGCAAAGTCAACGGGGGATTCAATCAAAACGCGCGTGCGCCGCGTTAGCAACGCCACCGCCTCACTTTCCATAGAGTTTGTTTACATACTTTGGAATTCAGCTTATGGGACTTGTATATAGAGAAGCAGCATAAAAAGGCACAGGATCATATTTCCGAAAACGCGCATAGTAACCGCGTAACTCTACTGCGCCTGGATATACAAACACCAACACTGATTGCTGGGACAAGTGAGGGGCTGGCTCCGCGACACTAGAAACAGTGAGTTTTGACTACTTTATCTTTCCAATTTCCTACATCTACACATAGGTAAGGCCCCACCACCATGGCCTCCACTCAACTATCACCGTCGGAAATAGTGCCTGCTCTTGATATACTGACAATAGAGAAGACAAAGGAGCTATTTTTTCATCTCAATGTCCAACTCAAAACTCTTGATGACATTGACACAAACCACACGGGAAACATGCGCAAAATCCGCTACGTCCAGGCCTGGTTTGACCAGGAGGCGGGGGCCAGTTGGGAGATGATTTTAGCTGGCCTCAAAAAAATAGGTATGACAGCACTGGCTGACACTTTGGCAACTCAGCAATGTTCAGGAGAAACTCCAACCCCAGCTCCCGTCATTATGGCCCCTGGCCCCGACCTCCCCTCCTCTCCAGTGACGACAGCCCCAGAGGCAGGTGGTCCTCAAACCAGTGGATCATCTCCCAGTGAGCCCACCCTCGGTCCCCTGGCACGTCCCTCCTCCCCCACTGACCGGGTGTCACAGGTGAGAGCCGAGATTGACCGACTCAGTGACACCTTCTCAGACCTCATGTCCGACACGGGAGATGAAATGTGCACGAGAGAAAGTGTAGATCCACGGTTTCTTGACAAGTTCCGTGATCGTCTTTTAGATCTTCCTGTCGCCCAAAAAGCCCCTCATGTCAAGTTTTTTGATGAAAGGCTGGATGAATTTCTAAAGGCAGACAATACTCGAAAAATATTTGCCATCATCCGGTGCTACAGCAGCTACCGCAACTACGCAGTTCTCCGAGAGGTGGTCAGGAAGTTCTTTCAGGGGCTCCAGCGAAGGATGCAGGAATACTGCGACTCACTAGAGAAGTTTGAGAAAGCGACAATGGTCGATGTGTACCTCCAGGCCATTGAAGCTAGTGATGTTCTCGCTTCAGAATTCACCAAAATGACAGTGAAGATCAACAAGCCAGCGTCGCAGTGCACTCTCCACGAAATTCGCAAGACGACTGAAGCGATCGCAGAAAGAGCGTCTCTACAGTCGTACAGTGTGTACGTTGGGGCGGTGTTGGAGGGTTCGGTTGTGGTGGAGCTGGGACTCCCGTCCAGCTGTGTGGGGTGGATTCTGGGAGCCTTGACACCCGACTTCCTAGCCACACATCTCCTGTCAGACGTGGTCCTCGGTCAAGAGATGCTTTTTACCGTCAACAAGCCTCGGGAAATGTTGGTACGCGTGTATTACCAATATAGAGAGATTTACCGTCCATGATAGGTATATACAGCGCCTGCTTGGGCAACATAAGCAATCCCTTGCATAAAATTTTGAACCCTTACATCAGTGGTGTAAGCCTGTAAGGAGTATAAAGTAAAGTTTCAAAGTACAAACGTTAATAGCTAAATGGTTGACTTACGTACTAAGGGCACATCTCTCTACTGTATAAGCATTGTTTGGGGCGGTTCAAAAGACCCTGGAACAAACTTGTACCCCAAACTTTCCTGGATGGTTACAGAAAACCATTGAAGTGCAAACCCTCGGTGGAGACGCACGAGTACATACGCATTGCACACATACCCATAGATACAAGTATGGTTACAAAGGGCATGTGCACTCCCACTCCTTCTCAGCTGTGATGGCTAGCTAACTTACTAATGTTTTACAGATGGGGAAAGGGGCCACTGTGCATGTGTAAAAACAGGTCGAGGTGGCACTAGCATATTGGCTGTTTACGCTCTGCCATTGCCTTCATGTATATATGCCTCATCCTGCTGACTAACTCTAGCAATGCAATAATTTACACTACAGATTTCAGTGGGTCTTTTGGCCTGTAAACTGTGCATGTTACATGGTGTACTGTATATGCCTCCTGCAATCTGGTGCTAAGCCCGTATAGTAAAGTTTCAAAGTACAAACATTAACAGCCAAATGGTTGACTTACTTACTAAGGGCACATCTGTCTACTGTACAAGCTATTTGCTCTGAAGGGAGGTTCAAAAGACATGGAACACACTTTTTGCATGTGCCCCAAACTAGTGTTTTAGGCATTGTGATATTTGACATCCCCCTCCGTTGTAACTTCTGATGCCTCCACAGTATATACAAAACTGGCAGAATGCGGGCGATGTAAACCAGTATTAATTTGCATATTGGCTTGCTACCTTTGTTCTGGTACTGTAACTGTTGAACGCAGTGCTTTTATGAAACCCCCAAATGTAAAATCAAGCCAGTGTAGTGTGGACCCGTTGGTGTCACTCTTTGGCCAGCTTGTTGCATGTGGTGGCAGAAAGGTTGGTAACAGATAGACGGGCGCACACAACAATAGTACAAACCAAGTGTATACCCATAACCCTTGCTTGGGTTGATCATGGACAAGCTGTAGATAGATACTAGTTTCTTTTCTCCTCCCTCCCCGAAGAGACTTCACAATGTTCTCTGATGCCATGATGGGTTGTGGCAACTTATGTTTCCTACTAATTTCTCCGCAGAATGGTGACGGTTGGAAGCCTGTGGGTCAGGAGATGTGATAACAATAGCGTCTCTTCTCAACAGTGGAGCTGACGCGATGCTGTACACTGAGGTATTGTTACATCACTGCATTCAACTTCTTTTGTCATCCAATGCTATGAATCTACATGTCAGTAGTTTCCCACTATGGCAAAAGCTGCACCACCGTAATAACCTTAATCTGCACTCGATGTGCTGGAAGGTTACTATTTAGCATAATTATTTTCACTGGTTTTCATGCTAAAACTTTTGAGTTCAGGAAATGGATAAGGCTGGGTTCACATAATGTCGCATTGCCCTGTCACACCCCCTGCTGTGTTGCGTGGTGTCGCGAAGATAGGAATGGATTCGTTCATCCTCGCGACACGGCAAGGCGGGAACGGGGCGTGCGACATATTTGTGAACTTAGCCTTACACTGTTATTATTATAATGTGCATGTACCATTGATTTGGTTGGTATCTCTCTTTGGTAGCATGTGGTGCCAGACATAGAGATCAGACAGACAGATGGACAAACACACAACCAAGTATTGTAAACTTGCTGGGCTTGCATGCCGAGAAAATCTCTGCATTTAATTGACTCCATGAATGATACCTAGCTCTGCTCTGCTACAGCACAAGCTATGCTTTGCCCATGCTAAAATGGAAATATCACTAGAAGAACATGTCTCTGCATCATGATTTGTGTCTAGTTTGGGGCTTTTCCCACCATCCTGTAGAATTGTACCGAACAAGTGAGCCTTTTAATATGGTACCTAGTGTCTTATATGCATGTTTATCTCTATAATATCAATAAACCTGTGCATGCACAAATATCCATGCAAAATACTTATGCGTGCAATCCATATTGTGAGTGTATGATGGTGTCTGTCCCTATAGAGTCAACCCACTTCTCTGCTCTGTGCCATTATGAAAGATAAAATCCAAGTGGTTCGTCTCCTGATATTCAAGAGGAGCTGATCTAAACAGTGGAAGGGTGAGAGACAATTTATGCATGCGTTTGGTGTACATAGGATCCACCACGTCCAGTGGGCCCTACACCCAGTTTTTTTGATAAGTACCATCACCATGAGCGCTTGTACCATTGACATAAGCATTCACGCATTGTACTACTAGTGCATGCGATACCGTGTTGAGCTGAGCAGCACGAGCATCTGATATTTCGTGCGTGTGTATTGCGCGCTACTTTCGCATGACGTAGAGATACGGTATGTGTGGCATCTGCCTGATAGAAAGACGAAGGGAAAGCGGACCGTCTGCCCAAGTCGGTACGAGCGCGCGTTCGCTCCTCGCAATATGTTGTGAGGTTACACATGGTCGTGCCTTAGGATCACACACACCAACTATCGCAGCGCATATCAGCCAACATTTTTGTGAAAAAATGTGATGCACTGTGCGAGCCACTTTTGTTAGTATGTACATCTAAAGCAACTTGAACATAAGTATAATGTGCATGTTTAATGTTTGTGCAGAGGTTAGGTACATCCGGTTTCGCGAGCGTGATTGCCATTACACTAGCCCAGTTTTTTTGTCAACCAGTCACCACTGATGCACGCAACTCGTGTAGGTGTCGATGCCATTAGGAGTCTGGTGCAAGAAGGAGCCAGTTTTGGACCTTATGATGGGGTAACAACTACATCTGTCATCTTACCTCTCGGACTCTCTGTAGTACAATGGAACTCTGAACGAAGGACACACCATTGGGCAACATCGATTTTGTCCCTTGTTAGAAAGTTGTCCCTATCTCGAAGGATTGCCGATTTTGCTCTTAAGAGTGGAACAATGTCTGAATCATGACTGCCTTGCACAAGGTGCTAAAAGAGTGCACAAAGACTGCGTGGATAGGTCCGGTGTTTGTCTATGCTTGCACACGGCGTCATTGGAATGTCGGTTCAATGTACACAGATCCGTTATATACCAAGTTTCTACGGCAGTCTCAGTCTTTGCCTTCTTCTTGGAGGCTCTCCGCTTCTCGAAGGATCCACTGTATTCGAAGCAATCCGTGTCCTTCAATTTACTCTCCCCACAGAGAGGGGACTCTGCAGTCTTCTATGCTGTAAGGCAACGAAAGTCAGATGTTCTGAGGAGCTGATGAGGGCTGGGAGCAACCTCAACCTCCAGAACCAGGTGCAGTTACAGTTTTTATGGGAATACAAGAGGGAATGAATGCTACATACGTGAAATTAGACGTCCTCTATAATCTAAGCACAAAATATAACAGTGTGTGAAACATTTGCGGAACATGTTATTGAATAGGCTATTTTTTGTTACACATCAGATGTGTACGCAATAATACTCCAAATCACTAAGTGACACAGATACTATGGGATGAGAAACTGGAATGATAAGACAAGCTCTTGCTGCTTAATTATGCACCTAAATAAAATAATTGTGAGGTGGGAACTGTAGGTGTGTAGCTAATGTTTGGTCTGTTGTGTGATTAGATACTCTTACACCCGCTTCCCAACCATACAACTTATATATACAGTAATGGGCAAGGTTCACATCTGGTGTATGGCTATACAGAACTTTAAGCCTATCAGATTGATTGTGACCCAACACTCAATAGCTGTACCTTCAGGTGCATATCAAAGAGTGTTATGAAGGGAGGAGAGCAAACACACATGACTATCATGCAGGTTATTATAGCATCGGTAGATGCTCTATATAGGGATGGCACGTGTCAAATCTCACGTGATCCGCGTACAAAAAACTGACATGATCCACATACAAAACACCTCAGGAGCTGCCACTAACTGTTGACCCTCCATTACAGGAGGGCCTCACCCCTCTAATATATGCCGCCATGATGGGGAGTTCCATGACAAAAATTCTACTGGAAGGAAAGCACGTCGACCTTGACATTCAGGAGAATGTGAGTTTGCCTGTTATACACTCTATTTGATACACTGCTCACAACATTTGGGATGTCAATGTGGAACTATTATCTTCTTTCCAGGCCGGAGGATGGTCAGCTCTCCACTTCTCTGCTGAGAACGGAGACTCTGCTACCACGTACGCTCTCATGAAAGCAGGAGCTAATGTCCACCTCAAGGACAAGGTCTGAGGTAGCTAGCATTATCCTTTCAAGTTTACTCCCTCCTCCCTCCCTCCCTCTCTGTCTGTCTGTCTCTATCTCCTGTCTTGTCCTATCCTGCCCTAAGCCTTCAGCCACTTACTTTACACATCCACGCATGCGTAACCCACCCACGCATGTACATAACACTACGCATGCATGCATGTGTATAACACAACCATGGGGTACTCTCCAGCTCCAAGGAAAGAAACCAGAGGTATGTAGTTGAGTATCCTAATCTAATCCTCTACGCAAACAAAAGTGACTATATAGTTGTTTTCTATCCCAGTTTAGATAAGAAACTATGAATTTGCATGCAATGGTATAAGAACCAGTAAAAGAAAAACTCTAGAGTGTCTGTTACCACATAATACAGCTAGCTGCTGGACTCCTAAGAGGGAGTGGTCCCGCCCCATCAGGTGGTGACCACGGGTCAGGAGAATAAAGGGACCGAAACCCGTGGTCACGTAGAGCACCTGTTGGGGAGCTCCCCTGGTGACCAGCTAAACCACTAGCCATAGCTCTCAAAATTGTGAAGCCACATGGAATACAAATGAATAGACCATAAATATTGATGGCTCTGTCAGTCTGGCACTCCCCCTCAATTGCTCTCTCTCTCTCTGTCTCTCTCTCTCTTTGCCTCAGAATGATACACCAAGGTGAATGACTTGCCGAAGCGACGCACAAAATCACTGCACAATACCTTGGATCCACAAGTATAGATTATAGTCAGTAGCATAGGGGGGAGGGGGTTGGTCTATAGTTTTCTGTTTCTGGAACACCAAATGTTGAAGGAGTTGATGAGGGCTGCTCTCGTTACCCGTCGCAGTAGTTGCTTCAACTCCTTCTCTGGCACTCCTAGCAGTGCTGCTTTGTCATAGTTAGTCTCGTAGCAGACTGTCAACTCCACTAGGCACACGACTCTCGTGGTATCGTCCCACAAAACCAGGTCGGGCCTCAGGTCGGTAGGGGTGATGTGTACTGGGAAGCTGTAGTTGTCACTGATATCCGCTGTCCACGAGGATGTTATTGGTAGATAGGGGACCACTGACTTCACAACTTCCTGCAGTACAGCATCGTGGCGTGTGTTGTACCGTCGCAGATCTCTTGCCACGCCACAATTGTTCAGAACATGCAGCAAAGAATGGTCAGCAGTTGCACAGGGGGCAGTATGGATCTTTCCTCTTCTTCCACCGATACAGATTTGCGTTGTGTGGCAGAGTGTCAACTGCTGCATTTAGGGAAAGCCTAAAAATCTCGTCCGGTAGCTCACGAACCACACCAGCCCAAACTGGGGCACACTTCAGGTCTAAACACCTGCTCATTTGCCCCTGCTGCTCCAGGCTCTGCAGATTTCCCATCATCGAGGAATCCTCGTCCTCCTTCACGACCTGCTTTGCAGCTCTGGAGAGGGCTCTCCTGCTTCCAGCAGGGTTGGTTGCAATGATGTCTGTTGCGAGAATTGCCGGCCTGAACTTCTTTCTCACCACACCCGGCTCACGCTTCAGGTTCCGGTCAGCCAAAAAATCTCACACAACCGTCGCGGGACATCAATAGTTGGCACTGACGCAACACTTGTGGAGAGTGGAGAGGCGAGGGAGTTTGAGACCACCCATGGCATTGGGGAGGTACAAGAAGGCAGTATTGCCCCTGACCTGCAGAGACCAGTCCACTTCTTCAGGTACCTTGTAGCCAGGGAGTCAAGCTGTTTCTCCAACCAGCTGATGGGAAACTCGTGTGTCAGGAGTGGCCAGGTCAGTCGAGGACAGATGCCTGCTGAGTAGAGGAGCAGTTTCTGACGTCTAGAGAGAAGACTGTCATCCACAGCTGTGAGCATGGTCTCGAGTCGGGAGAGAATGGTAGCTCTGGACCTGCAGGCTGTGCTGGTGACTTGAACACTTATCCCGAGGAATCTGACTGGCTCGGTGGTGAATGGGATGGAGACACCGTCCAGCTGCAGGAGTGGGTCCACTACCTTTCCAGTGGAGCCCTATAGAGAGACACACTGGCACTTTGGAACCTTGGCAGCCATCCCAGACCACCGTAGCCAGTCTGACACCATGGAGAGCAGGTACTGGCAGAAGGCTGGGGAGTTGGCTACCAGACAGGTGTCATCTGCATACTGTAGGATGTTGATTGTACGAGCAGAGTTGCTGAACTTGTAACCAAGGTCAGTCCGGAGAGACACCGTATCGATGAGAGTGCACATCACCGTATTGAAGATCACCACAGAGAGAGGGTCCCCCTGGTACACTCCCTTTTGAAGAGGGATGACTGGGGTCTCCCACTCTGCAGTGATGACCTTGGCATTTAGGCCAGAGTAGAGCGACTGCACAGCACTCAGTAATTGTGGTGGGGCATGGTAATGGCGAAGGGAATAGTCAATGAGGGAGTGATGCACACTCCCATACGCATTTGCCAGATCGAGCCAGCACACCGCCAGGGATTTGTGGTTGGAGTGGGCCTCTGCAAGGACTGAAGAGAGTTTCAGATGGTGCTCAGTGCAGCCTGGAACTGTTGGCATGAAGGCCTTATGCAGTGATGGATCGAGGTACTTATTGGGATGGGAGAGCCCTCTCCAGAGCTGCAAAGCAGGGGTCGTGAAGGAGGACGAGGATTCCTCGATGATGGGAAATCTGCAGAGCCTGGAGCAGCAGGGGCAAATGAGCAGGTGTCTCTAATTGATGAAGTCAGGTGAGTCAGGTAACATGGTTCCTAGAGCCCCAGATGTAGAAGGAACCTAAAAGGGTCGTTCTTGTAATCAGGAGACACGCGGAAGTGCACTCCTTTCTTGGTGCATCTGTAGCCTCACGTAGCAGGTCGAAGTCTGCGTCGCCCAACATCCCTCGTGATCCAACCACTAGATTCAAAAGCTTCACCCTGTAGCCTGCTGCTCTCCCAGCCTCCACCAGGTCATGGTACTTCTGCTGCCTTCCTAGCTCTCGCATCAGCCACTCCAGACTCGTAGCTCACAGTGAGCTCTAACAGCCATAGCTCCATATGCTAGTCACTCCACCACACGATGTCGAAGATTAGTGGGGGTGATGTGTTGCGGAAATCTGTAGACCTCTGAGGGGGAGAGATGGAGAACTGAGGAGGCAGGTGGGTCTTGATGAAGTCACCGATAACCTGGAGGACGGCATCATTCATGCCTGTGGCTATATCACCGAAGCTCCATAGCCATAGGACAGTTGTTGAGGATGTGGGAGAGAGTTTGACTTGAGACTCGGCATAGGGGGCAGATGTCGGAAGCCTTCTTTCCCCACATATGGAGATTGGAGTTTGTTGGGAGGGTGTTGAGCGATGAATTCAGGACAAACTTCAGTGGCTCTGGAGGAAGTTGTTGAACAGCCCTCACCCACAGATCAGGTGAGGACTCCCCCCAGGCCCTGGCCATCTCTCCTTGGGCTGGAAGCTGGCAGAGTGAGAGGTGCAACCTCATCCTCTTCCTCAGTCAGAAGAGTCTTGACCGCACCTGACAAGGCCCTACGGCTCTGGGTGTGGTCTTGCGTCTTGATGGAGTCCACAAGAACTGCAGGCCTGAACTTCAGTCTCTGTCTCTTCTTCTCTTCCAGGAGCCGGAGATCTGCCACTTTCCTAACTCCTGGATCATGTGACGTGATTAGCTGTACCATCTTGGATGCCTGCAACTTCTTGTGTTCTCTGATCAGAGATGGCAGAGCCAGACCCACCCCTCTTGGCAGGGAGGAAGAGGATTGATGTGTTAGAGTGACGGGCCAGACCCGCCCTCTCCTTGAGGGCCTTTGTTGCCAGAGGCTGCAGGTCACGCTCCAGCCATGTGATAGGGAAATCCTCAACAAGCAGGGGCCAAGAGAGCCTAGGGCAAACCCCATACTTGAAGAGGCGGAGCTTCTGCTGACGGGTCAGAGGTGTCTTGTCGATTGCCGTCAGCATTTGCTGCAAAGAACCCCGGAAAGAAGACCTTGCATCATCATTGCTGGGGTGAACCCGCACTGGCATAGCTACCCACTCCCATCTTCAGCAGGGGGGATCACTCTCCCACTGATTGTGAGTGTAGGGCTCACTCTCTTCCCCGTAGATGCCTGAATGACCATGGAGCGGCACTTAGGCACCTTGGCCTTCACTCCAACCAGCGCTGCACCCTGTCCAGAAGATGTTGGCAGCCAGCGGGGGTGTTGCTGATGATGCAAGCATTATCAGCATAGAGAAGGTGGTTGATGGTGATGGAGGATTGCGGGAGAGTGAATCCCAGATCCTTCCTGGAGCAGAGGGTGTCAGAGAGAGTGTTCATCACTGTCAGAAAGATGACCACACTGAGAGGGTCTCCCTGGTACACCCCTATCTTAAGAGGGGCAGGATCTGTCGACCATGCATCTGTTGACATGGTACCAGACAGGCCAGAGTACCATGACTGCAACAGACGGCAGAACTCTGGTGGAGCGTGGTAGTGTGCCAGGGAGAACTGGATTAGGGAGTGGTGGACGCTACCATAAGCGTTGGCGATGTCGAGCCAAGCTACAGCCAGGGAGCGTTTCTGCTGCCGAGCTGATCTGATGACAGCTGCTAGCTTGGCCTGGTGCTCCACCACCCCGGGAGTTGTATGGAGGAATGTCTTCTGAAGATCTGAGTCCAGGTATATAGCCATTGGCTCTCATATGCCTAAGCCATCTGTCCTTCAGAATCTCCGAGAGCAACTTGCTCACCACTGGGGTGAGTGCAATTGGCCGAAAGTTTCCAGGAGACGATGGATCCTCCTGTGCAGAGCTCTTTGGGATGAGCTTGATAGCCGCCACCTTCAAGATGATGGAACACTGCCCTCCATGATTACTCTGTTAAATAGGTCTAGAAGGGCAGGTCGCAGAGAGGGGCACTTCTTGAAAATTAGGTAGGGGATCCGGTCCACAGGTGAAGGGGCAGAGGATGGTTTAGACTTTCTGATGACACGGGCCAGCTCCTTTTCAGAGATGGGAGCCATCTCCATGGCACTGTCAGGTTTTGGAAGAGAAGCAGAAGGCATCCAAGATGGTGAGTCGAAGAGATGAGGAGATGACTCATAGACATGAGTGGGCCGTGCTAGCCGTGAAGGCTGGAGATGTCTGTGCCGTACAGCCTTTCCCCAACAGGTCCTTGGCGAACTTCCAGAAGTGGTTGTTGCATTCCTCCCATGCAACCTTCGCATCCTTTTCCCGGAGCCTGATGGATGAATCCCTACAAAGCTGGCTGTGCCGACGAAGAAGAGATAAGAAGTTTGCAGCAAGTGGCTGGATGACATCACCACTTGCTCCCTCCCTCTTCGCCTTGCGAAGGGCACGCCTAGCTTTGTTCTTCAGCCTGGTAACCTCCTTGAGGGCCCTGTCATGTTGTATAACCTTGGGCCTGGTAGGAACCCTCGTCCCAAAACGGAAGGCGAGGGTGTTATATAACACAGACAGGTGTTCTTCTCTTCTGCTGAAGAATTGAAGAGGTGACTGCAGAGAGAAGGTGGTCTGCTTCCTCCCACTCCTCAGGGGATTTTGGGAGCCTCAGAGGATTATTGAATGACGAATTGCAGCCATGCCTGGGTGATGTGTGTTTAGATGCGTTCCTAGGGTTGTGGTCTCGTTTGTTGTAGCAACAGCTGCTGCGGTTTCCAGTGCGGAATTCAAATTTCCGGGTAGCATCGCGCGTAAATTGTAAATAGCGGTAGAGGTCTAGAGGATCATAGATGTAGAGGGTGTGGCAGGCAGGTGTTCTGACGGTCTTCTGACGTCGCAGGTAGCGCTGACCCGCAGATGCGGGTCAAGTCGCTGAAAACGCCGGCCGCACTTCTCACACCGCGACCGGGCTCTAGTAGGTGGCATAGTTGACGGGAGGGCGTTGTCTTTTGTAGAGCAAAGCAATGGTGATATATACCAGCGGGCTTCTCGGAGTATTTGCTGACAGTTAATCGCGTCAGCAAGCTCCTGTGTTTAGAAGAGCCCGTTGTACCAGGATATAGTCAAAGCTCTTTTCAACCGTCCTCCGCGTCGCGTTCAAATTTTTTTTCTTTCTCTCTCTCTCTCTCTCAGAATGGGTGGACGGCTATTGAGATGGCTGAAGTCAAGTCCGCAGACCAAGAAACTGCCCTTAGGTCTGCATTTTCCCTAGACTACAGACACCGCTACAATGGACCCAGAGACTATGGGAAAGTGATTGAGCTGCTGAGAGGAAACCTTGTGGAGTCAGTTACTCCACCTTCTCAGCACGTAAGGAGAATGTGTGCCTTTTAGAGTTTAACACATTACAAGCACTTCAGTTCAGTGATTGCTCTATTAATTCAGGACTTGGATAGTGCATCTACTACCAGAAAGGAAAGGTCAGAGGTGAGAGATAAAGAGTGGGAGCTCAAACAAACGACATGGGGGACAAGGGAGATCATAGAGAAGAGGAAGCCAAGACCTTCAGAAAACCAAACGGATACCAACAATAATTAGATCCACTGTTTGTTACTTTCTTTGTTTAATACAGCTAAAGCTACAAAGCTAGTGCTTCCACACACAATACACACTGCATGTATCACACAAGTACGTCTGGATTGCAGCTCTACAGCCAGAAGGAACACTAGGTGGTAAAGTAGCAGAGAAATGAGACAGCCATGGAAATTGACCATGGAGAATGCATGCAGAGGTCGATGGCTGTCTGATACTCAGGTAGGCTGGGCTGGATGTAAAGAGGAGCCATCCACAGTCCGCAGCTGCACTGACGGTCAGTCGCGTCCTGTCTCTCGCATATAGCTCCGAGGTCCTTTGCAAACTCCTTGTGATGTGTTCCCAAATATTAGGTAGTGCGCATGCTCAGTCAATTATTCTGTACGTTATTCCCGTGGTCCTTCGTGTACTGTATACCCCACCTCGATATAATTATTATGTATCGTGCATATTCGCTGTAAGTCAGTTATAGTGATCATGATATAAACTGTGATTACGAGGATACTACACTGGCGACGAGGATAAACTAGAATGGCGGCACACCATGGTACACTGGCCGAATACACACCGTCGCAGGAAACCTGGTCCGAGTACATTGAACGCTTGGAGCTCTACTTCGTGGCGAACGACGTAGATTCGACAGAGAAGAAGAGAGCAATACTGCTCCATGCCTGTTGTTCGGGGACCTACAAACTGATCAGGAGCCTCGCTGCCCCAGCCAAGCCGAGCGACGTGGAGTAGAGTGAACGATCAGTGGTCGGTCACCAGCAATCCTCGGACACCATTGTAGAGAAAGAGAGAGGGTCGAGGCTAGATCCAGCCATATACACTGATAGCTAGTACAAGTAGCTGTCCACTGTCAAAATATTTCCCGCTCGCCTATCTCCTAGACGGAGCGGTTGGCGCACGAAATCGACGTCCGAATACACAAAACGTCGGACGAAATAATGGCTTGTCGGACACCCCTCGTTTTCTTCTACAAACAGAGGCGCAGAAACCAGGCAAAAACATCAACGGGTACTACTACTTTCCTACTATCATCAGCGTTATCGCGATCGCGAGCACCGCTTTCCATGTCGTGGCTACCAGCCTGTAATTCGGCGAGGTCACGCCCTCAATGATCGGACGCGCGTGCGTAGTTGATGCCTTCCACGTGTGTGGAAAGACCTGGTGTGTAGGGTGGATGGAGGTGCACATAAGGTGAGTGAGCGCCTGTTACTGCTACTATTTTATTTGTTTCTCCCCTTATTAGGTGTTTGCCCGCTTCGAAATCACAAAAATGAGTCAGTAAAGGTGCTCGTGGATATGATGCATTTTTTGCCAATGTTTAATAGCGCCATAAAAGCGCGATAAAAGCGTGAGTAAACGATCAGTGGTCGGTCACCAGCAATCCTCGGACATTTCTTACTTGGAAGAATGTGGCCACCGCTTTTTTGCACACGCGGGATTCTTCTAGCGACGACCAGTTAATAGGTGATAAACACTTTATTACACCTTTTGTTGTGATGTTGTGCCTGACTCTCCGAGGACAGGTAACACCACTCCAAGAGGTGTAAAAATGCTTGGTGCTGAAAGCTGCAAATCATGAAATGGCCGCCTGCCCTACCATTGTAACCGTGGAACAATGAAACTTACATGCATATCCGCTGAAATAAAGCAGCTACTTGGCAGTTTTGCGTCGATTGCTTGGTGGATGTGCTGTTGCACGTAGCCTAGCTGAGCCAAATCTGCGCGCAAGAGACCCGTTGCTCCCTGTAGGCACACGTTAATAAACACTGGTCTCGTTTAAACGTCGGGTCTAGGAAGTTGTTAACAAATGAATGCCTGGGCGTTTATTCGACAATATGCGCCACATCGTGTCGTAAATTTCACACTTTATACACTTGCTTGCGCTGCTCAGAATGGCATTGCACTCTTGTCCAACTCGCATTGCGCAAGACCTTTCCGCTCATGATTCACTACAAGAAGCAAATAAGACAATCAATCACTAATTTTTTACTCAACTTTAGATGCTTCGATCAGTGCCCTTGAAGGATAGAGTATTTCGCAGCAGTGACTGTAGTCGACACGTTCCATTATCTTTATCTGGTGGAGACGTTGGGCGTTCATCTCGAACACATAGACTGTGGACGCAGGAGCAAATGTTTGGTGCAATTAATTCGGTTGTGCGTGATGGGGTGAGCATTCGGAGAGCAGCTGAAAAATATGGGGTCCCAAAATCATCACTCGGTGACCGGCTGAGTGGTCGTGTTTTGCCTGATGCGCAATGTGGTCCTGCTACCTATCTCTCACCAAGAGAAGAGGAGGAGTTAGTGATGTTCCTCACCCGCTGTACCTCAATTGGGTATGCGAAATCTCGCAAGGAAGTTCTAGCTTTGGTCCAAGCTGTTCTTGAGAGCCGTGGCCACCAGAAGATGGTCACTAATGGATGGTGGGAATCATTTCGGCGCCGACACCCTAACCTTACTCTTCGGGCCTCTGTTCCTCTGTCATTGGCACGTGCCAAAGCAACTGATCCAGAGATATTAGGTCTCTATTTTGACCTTCTTGAGCAGACACTCCAAGACAACCAGCTTGAAGGAAAGCCCGGTCTACTGTTTAATATGGATGAGAGTGGCATGCCACTCGATGCGAAACCTCCTAAAGTAGTTGCTCCAAAAGGCGTAACAGTGTCGGCTATTGGATCTGGAGATAAAACACAAATGACAGTTGTAGCATGTGTTTCTGCAGCAGGCTATTGCATACCTCCCATGGTAATATGGGATAGGAAAATCCTTGCTCCTGAGTTAACAGTAGGGGAAGTCCGTGGAACTATCTACGGCCTCTCCAAGAGCGGGTGGATGGACATGGAACTCTTCCACATGTGGTTTTGCAATCATTTTTTGCACTATGCACTAGCAGCACGGCCGCTTCTTTTTCTTCTTGATGGTCACTCGTCCCACTACTGTCCGGATACAATCCGTCTTGCTGCCAAGGAGAAAGTAATTCTCTTTACGCTCCCTCCCAACACTACACACTTGACTCAACCGCTTGATAAGGGGTGTTTTGGCCCCCTAAAAACTTCCTGGAGAGAGGTGTGTCACCAGTTTATAACATCAAATCCCGGTAGGTGGTTACTCGATACCAGTTCTCGAGACTCTTTAACAAGTCGTGGATGAGAAGCATGACCATCAGCAACATCTCTACAGGATTCAAGATAACAGGGGTGCACCCAATCAACCGAGATGTGTTTGCTCACGTAGAGGACTCCTCATTTGTTAAACAGAGCAGACTGGCCTTTATTCCACTTTACAGCCCTTCACCAAAGCGTAAGGTTTGTGATCGTGGGAGATTCCATGAAGTGAGTCAAGAAACTAATGACGACACTCATAGGCATCACACACGGCTTAGTGAGCAGTCTGATCCTCTTCCCTCTATGTCTGTTTGGTTACAGTCACCGCAAACCTCAGGTGTTAGCCGATATCTGCAATGCCCTTCTCCTTTAAACAGGCAGATAAACTACCACCCAAAATCTTGTGGTCGTGTACTGACTAGTGCAGAAAATCTCGCTATAATGGCTGAGAAAGAAAAGGTAAAACAAGAAAAAGAGAAGATGAAGGCTGAAAGGAAGATATTGAGGGAGGAAAGGAAACACATTAGAGCTGTAAAAGGTATTAAAAATGTGAGGAAAACATGTCAGCATGTGCTAATGTTATGCAAGTACAAAAGGCCCAGTTGCTCCATTAGAACAAGCAAAGAATGATAGGTTTATTTCAAAGTTAAAAATGTTTTATTGTACATGTGGCCGTACAGAGGTGGAGACAACTGGGAGAGATCTTGGCTTTTCATGCGAAGAATTGGAAATTTTCCAAAGGGATACGAAAATGGTTATGACCTTACTCATGACAACCGTTACAATTTGTGGCTTAAATCTCTGCAGTGTAAGTTAACACTCTAGTTAATGCTATTGTACCAACTTGTCCCACTGCATGCTTGCGCAGCAAGGGTTATGGTACTTTGGGAGTGTCTCCCCATGCCAGACTCTCCGCGAGCTACTAGCGGGAGACCATGAGTGAATGCATGCTAATATCCCAGCCCATCGATTACCGGTACTGCACGTACATCGTGCGCCGAGGGATTGCACTTCAGTGCTTTTCATTATACTAGCATGTAAAATCTATTGTCTCTCACACAGTGCATTCCTGCCCTGGAGCCACAGACTCTGGTAAGTCAGGGCACACTCAATATGTGTTTGTTTATGCTAATAGTGCAGGCTGCCCAGAAGAACACTTTGACAGTGACACCCTGTCGCATGGGAGAGACGATGATGAAGGTATACACATGTGTACATATGTGTGTGTGTTTAATGTCGTGTGATATTTTGTTACAGAAGGTCATGCTGGAGCTAAGTCCAAACAGTCTCGCCTCACACGTGTGTGTAAGTAATGCTTTTTTTCTTGGAACACCGTTACGATTATGTATCATTCTTACAGTGCGTTCCCGTCAAGAGTCCCGTCAAAGGTCTTTGAATCTGAAGGCCACAGACTCTGGTAAGTCAGGGCACACTCAATATGTGTTTGTTTATGCTAATAGTGCAGGCTGCCCAGAAGAACACTTTGACGGTGACACCCTGTCGCATGAGAGAGACGATGATGAAGGTATACACATGTGTACATATGTGTGTGTGTGTTTAATGTCGTGTGATATTTTGTTACAGAAGGTCATGCTGGAGCTAAGTCCAAACAGTCTCTCCCCACACGTGTGTGTAAGTAATGTTTTTTTTTCTTGGAACACCATTACGATTATGTATCATTCTTACAGTGCGTTCCCGTCAAGAGTCCCGTCAAAGGTCTTTGAATCTGAAGGCCACAGACTCTGGTAAGTCAGGGCACACTCAATATGTGTTTGTTTATGCTAATAGTGCAGGCTGCCCAGAAGAACACTTTGACGGTGACACCCTGTCGCATGAGAGAGACGATGATGAAGGTATACACATGTGTAGTGATACGTATTTTATGTTTGTTTATGAAACCATTTCAGGAGGCCTATCTGGAGCTCATATAAAATCAACTCAGCTTACTCGTAAGTGTATGTATTGTTTTACTGCTTGCAAAACCATTGCCTTCCTTCTCTTTCTCTTTTATTAGGTGAGGACACTGACTGTTTCCAAGGTTTATGTAACATCCCAGAGCAAGGAATTGGGTCCAGTGTGAGCGATGTGGCAGAGTTTCACTGTGTCTGCCAAAGTGTGACACTGAACAAAGCAAAAGATGTTGCCTTTTGTTGCTGTTAACTCCATGTGATGTTTGGCTTAGTGCGCATGCGCGTCAGATTATTGAGGGCGTGACCTTGCGAAATAACGGGCTTGTTGCCAGAACATGGAAAGCGGTGCTCGTGATCGTGAAAACGCTGATGATAGTAGGGAAGTAGTAGTACCCGTTGACGTTTTCGCTTGGTTTGTGCGCCTCTGTTTGTAGAAGAAACTAGGGGTGTCCGACAAGCCATTATTTCGTCCGACGTTTTGTGTATTCGGACGTCGATTTCGTGCGCCAACCGCTCCGTCTAGGAGATAGGCGAGCGGGAAATATTTTGACAGTGGACAGCTACTTGTACTAGCTATCAGTGTATATGGTGGATCTAGCCTCGGCCCTCTCTCTTTCTCTACAATGGTGTCCGAGGATTGCTGGTGACCGACCACTGATCGTTTACTCTACAAGGCACTCGTGGAGCTTATGGCCAACCATTCCATGCCAAAACCGTCTGTAGTAGTGGAGCGTTTCCGGTTCCATTCCCGGTCACAATAGCAAGGCGCGCGAATCCATTGCGGACTTCTTCGCACAGTTGCAGCGCCTGAGCGAACACTGTCAATTTGGAGAGACACGACGAGAAATGCTGCGAGAGCGGCTGGTACAGAGGAAGCTACTCGCTGAAACGGACCTTGCGCTCGACAAAACCCTAGGCACGGCGAGGGCGATGGAGACAGCCGAGAGAAACACACGCGGGCGTTACGAACGTCCCAGCCAACAGAGGAGACCGACGTCCACAACGTGCGCGACCGGAGGTCAAACACGGCACAGCCAGTGGGAGGTGGTGTAGACAGTGGGCCCTGTACAAGATGCGGAGGCAAAAATCACACACCAGCAGACTGTCGTTGGAAGTCGGCTGTCTGCCACGCCTGCAAGAAACGCGGACATATTTTAGCACGAATGTGTCGATCCAAACGGCAGCAGTCTACGTCTTCCGCACGGCCTCAGCAAGGGTCCGGAACTCAGTCTCACTCACGGCCGACACACGCAGTCGACACCGATGGATCAGGAGAAGAGCCATCCGAGGGCGAGGAAGACGTGTACGCAATATTCAACCTTCCGATATTCAATCTCCGTCAGAAGAAACAACCCATCAGGGTGGAGGTCAAAGTAAATGGCCAGAAGCTCAGTATGGAATTGGACACAGGAGCAGCCCTGACCATCATGAGCGAAATGACATACTCTTCACTGTGGCCTCAGGGAGGACCAACCATTCATCAATCATCCACATCACTCAAGACATACACTGGAGAGCCAATCAAAGTGCGAGGCCGAGCTGAAGTGCAAGTGGATTACAACGACCAAACTCTGCAGCTGCCCATTATAGTGGTGGAGGGATCAGGTCCAACACTCCTGGGGCGCAACTGGCTGCACGAGCTACGTCTAGACTGGCCCAGAATATTCAGTGTCCAACTGGACACACAACACCCACCAGAACTTGCGGCAATACTGGACAAATACCCGGCCGTTTTCAAGGATGAGCTGGGAGGACTGCGCGGGGCGCAGGCAAAAATTCACGTGCTGCCAGGAGTACAACCCAATTTCCGGAAACCACATACAGTGCCTTATGCCCTCAAACCAGCTGTAGAGAGGGAGCTGATTAGACTACAGAGAGAGGGGATCATCGAGCCTGTCAAATTCTCAGAGTGGGCCGCTCCGATTGTGGCGGTGGTGAAGCCCGACGGTCAGGTACACATTTGTGGTGACTATCGACTGAATCGGGCTCAGCTGGAAGCTTACCCCATCCCAAGAATCGACGAACTATTTGCCAGTATGTCGGGAGGCGTCTCCTTCACAAAGCTAGATCTCAAGCATGCTTACCAACAGCTGGTCCTGGACGAAGAGTCAAGAAAGTACACAACCATCAACACACACCGTGGGTTATTCAGGTACAACAGGCTACCATTCGGCATCTCCTCTGCCCCAGCCATTTTCCAGAGGACTATGGACAGTCTGCTCCAGGGTGTACCACATGTAGCCGTGTACCTGGACGACATTTTGATAACTGGCAAAGACACCCAGGAACACCCAGGAACACCTGCAGAACGAGGCGGGCCTCAGATTGAAGTGCAGCAAGTGCAAGTTCCTGACCCCAGAGGTGGTTTACCTTGGCCACAAAATAACAAAAGAGGGGACAGATGGGAAGGTGAAGGAATTCCCAACACCCGCAGATCGTTTCAGGAATGCTTAGTCACTACAGCAAGTTTCTCCCAAATATGTCTGCTACCTTAGCCCCCTTATATGCCCTGCTACAGAAAAACACAAACTGGGAGTAGGGTAGCAAACAGAAAAGAGCCTTCCAAGCTGCCAAAGATGCTCTTGTATCAGATTCGGTGCTGGTGCATTTCGACCCCACGGTGCATTTCGAAACGCGTTTGAGGCCGATTGTGAATTGCCGAGGAGATGGAAGTGGTCAACCCAACACTCGAGAAGATCATTGGTATCTGTGATGACTTTTCCCTCGGAATCCAGTAGCTTGGAGCATACTGATTTCACTTGATGGCAAACGGTGAGGATGATTTTCCTGTATCAGGTTATCACGCCGCTGGATTTGTTTGCGGACTTGTTCAGCTCTCTTTCGTTTGAGATGGGGAATTTGCGTCTCTTTTACACTGCTTTCTCTCATCCACGATGGGGCCGTGGCGAGGTCTGCCTGTCTCCTTCCATTTCCTGAAAGCACAGCGACTCTTCCAGCATAGAGCGGAGAGAGTAGTCGTGCACTTTGGCATGACTTCTTTTTTTGGGATCAGGACCTCTGCACACTTCACAAGCTCTTTGTAGACATTCTGCAGGTCGTGCTCAATCTCATTGATAGAAGTGTAACCTCTGACCCTCTAGAACATTCCTATATTGTGTCAGTATATAAGCACATATGTGTAGCTTAGGATTCAGAGTTGGATAGACTGAGAGTACGCTCAGTGACAGGGAAAGATAATATTTTGTCCAACTCTCAACGCTAAATCCGTGCGCTAGCAGTCAACTAGCTGAAGGAACGCTACAGAAGAATAATCTTCGTTCAGTAGAGGGCGGACAATTTCATTTGTTGCATTTGCATACTTTTAGCGTATGGTGGTGTTTCACTCCAGCCACCCAATTTAACGATTGGGACGGGAAGGCTGGGGGTGATGGGTGTCGTAGATGAGAAAGATTAATCGTGCAACGAATGGAAGGTGGTCTGAAGAATTTAGAGGATGGTCTTCAAGTGTCACACATGATGAGATGCCCTTGAAAGCGTCTTGATTTGCCAACACATAATCGATAGTAGATGTGTTCACACCAGAAGAGTAGGTGTAGGTGGCACCAGAGGACAGACTTCCAAGGGATACATTTGACACATAATGTTCAGAGATGATGTTGTTCCATAACATTCCTCTGTGGTTTGTGTCAAAGTCGTTTCTGGGAGAGCCGAGGTGGGCGGTCAAGTCACCCACAATTAGTAGGGGGCCATCAGAACTGGGAGATTACATGTTCTGCCGATTCGAGGTAGGAGTAAACCTCCTGAGGGTTCAATGAAAATCCCAATGCGAAAATGCATAGTTTGGCTATTGAAGATGCTGTTGCCTCCAGGATTCAGAAACGACGGAAACGTATGCTTTGCAAGCGCAGCCCTGCACTTGCTGTTGAACCAAGAGGTCTTGAAGAAACTGCTTGATGATGTGAGGTTTTATCATTCAACGGAATGCAGGAGTTGTCAGGGAGGTTAGTATTTATACAACATAGGCATTCTGTGCTGTAATCACTGCAGAGAGAACAGGTGATTGCATCATTGCTGCGTTGTCACCTCTGAAGAAGAAATACCAATACCAACTTTTACCTACATCTCTAACAACCAAGGATATAATCATTTAAATCTCTGACCAGTACGTACACAGATGAAAAACTGTGGGTATTGTTAGTGTTGTATTGCAGATGTGAATCGTTCTTTGAAGCCTGGAGAGGAAAATGATTCTCAGGAGTTTCTTATCTTTTTGTTTGATCTGTTTTTGGGGAGTATTCCATCAGCGTAAGTAGTGCCAAATTTCCCTGCAAAAGCTGCGTGATTTTACTGCCTGCATTGCGTTATAGAACTTCTGCTGTTCATAGACGAAACACTCATGTAGAAGTGACACAGCAAGGTGCGTAGATGTTTCTAAAGAATGTTCAATTGGCTTGTATAGTTCGCTGCAGCCACTGCACATACATGAGTACTTCAACTGAAGAGGAGCGATTCCTTGAAATTCATACTCATGTATGATTGCCAGAGTTCTATGAAACAATAGCTCATCGTGGGACAAAATTTACAGGGGACAGATGAAGTGAACATAAATGAGCTAGTGACTGCTGGCTGTGACGAAGAGTTTGTACAAGATTACACTTGTTCAAGGTAATAAGAAACTTCCAGGTCCCTTCACTAACAGTATCCTCTTGCTTCATGAAGCTGCGGAAAGAATGGTGCATATAAACGGAATATTCCAACATCAACTCCACAAAACCTGCTTGTCCATGTGACAAGGACTGACTCTGACTCCTTTATGAGCTTTGTGGTAAGGATTTGATCACAATAATAGCGAAATAACTCAGTGTACACATTTAGATCAGGTTGTTCCTGCTCTTTCGCTTGAACAATGCACAAGGGTCTCAAACAATCAATGGTTCGCAGAAAGATGATGGATTTTAACCAGGTGCAGTAAGAGCATGGCAGAGTGTAAAGTGTGAAAAGGTCATGTCATCCTCTTTAGGAACAAATGTCGGTCATTCGCTGCCTAATTAAAGAAGAGTTACTTTCAGGGAAACTTATGTAAGTCTTAGTGTATGGCAGACAAGACTTATACTATATCTTACAGTGATCACTCCACGAGAACACACCGGATAATTAACCCTCCGCGCGCATGCGCAGCGAGGGTTACAGTACTTGGGTCTGTCTGTGTGTCTGTGTGTCTGTCTGTTACTCTACATATCACCTCTCGAATGTCTGTTCGTCCCAGAAACGATACCATCTACCCAACGGGCGACGAAGGTCAGAAATGCTCCGCTGCAGAACTAGAGCGCGAAAAAGCCAATATGCAAATACGCAACGGGCTTACGCGGTCTGATCGATCCGCGTGCTCTGCGTACCTCGGAGGCACAAGAAGATGCAACGCAGGGCGTGTATCGCCTCTCGCATGCTATAGTTAGCCCGCGTCAGACTCTGCGCGAGCTGGCAAGAGACCACGAGTAACAGCTAAAACTAGACCCAGCCCATCGATTAGTGATACAGCACATGCGTTTACTCACGCGTGCGCGTCACAATGCGCCGAGGGTTTGCACTTCAGTGCTTTTCATTGCTAATGTAGCTGATCACTCAAAACAGTGTTCTGGTGCTCCTCGAGCAAAGAGATTTACTTGAAACTGGATAAAACGAAGACAAAGAGAGGGTATATACAAAACTTAAATAGGTTATGTATGTCTAAACATTTTAATAATCACAGCAAAGATGATGCTACTGTGGAAGTCTCCATAGCAAAGCCACTGTCACCTCAACCCAAGGAAGAGTCAAACAGTCCTATCTCACCTCCGAACCCTACGCAACATCCACCGGAAAATCTTGGATCAGATAAGCTGCCTGAGGCTACATTGCTTTCTAAGCCTGTACAAAAAAGGGAACCACTTAAACAATTACCAATTAACTTAAAACCACAAATACATTCTTCATCACCTTCTCCTCAAAAGAAACACTCCCCAGTAAATAAAACACCAGAGTCACATAATCTCACTTCAGGTTTACCATCTCCAGTAACCAATCCTCAACCAAGACCACTTAGAAAGGCCAAATGTCCACACTGCAGCAAAGAGTATGCTTTTAGAAGTGGGTTGACAAAACATCTGAAGAAAGACCACAGTGACAAAACATCCAGTACATCATCAGGGAATATAAAATGTAATCAGTGCAATTCCAGGTAAGTAACTCAAACCATATCAATCTTATACCTATAGCATTTTTTGTGCAGCCACTTAACCATCATGCATCTTGTAAATCACCTCCAACCCAGTCATGGTACAGCGATCAGAATAGAAACACTCAATTTCAGAAACTTCGAGGAATTTTTAGCATGGAAAGAGGAAGAAATCAGAGCACATGCAAACTACGTACAGCAGTGTGCTCCGCAGGTGTATGTCACAAAGCAACACTGGTACTTCTACTGCAACCGCTCAGGCTCTCGTGGAGAAATGTGCCGCGGGAGGAACAGATTCATGTGACTACTTATGTAAAATATGTATTCCCCACTCAAGCAAACATACATGAATCTTTTGTGAATGCAAAACATACCCTCTTTGCACTAGCTTTGTACAACACGGCCAGGTGAACACTGGAGGTGGCTGACATTCGGCTACACCTTGCGCGATTCACGTGAACGCTCCTCTGGCAGTAAATCGCGCATTCAGCACATTTGCGCCAGTCGTTACGGGGTTAAACGGACACTCTGCCCATATTTGGCTTGGATAACCTTCTGCTAGTCAGATTTGGTCACTCTCGATGACGGAGATGGGTGAGCATACCAGGGACTTCCTCCACATAATCGCGACACCCCCACAGCCACGATTGAGGTCGCTGGTTGGGTTTAGTCGACCGTCTGAGATTGCGTGATAGGCAAAGTCTGTAAGCGATCAAGCATTGCGTAAGGCTGTTCCACGCCGTAAACCTTCAGCCAGCGCATGCTCAGTGTACCCGTGGCCGAAAATGAATGCCGGAGGATCTAGGGAGACGATGATAGTCTCTCCTTCAAAAGTGGAGAAGGCGAAGGAAGCCATCGAGCTTCTATGTTCTATTCCATACCCATTGTCCCAAGGACTGCAGTGGGGAGATCTTCCGCGAAGTCAATTAATGCACGCTTAATACGTCGGGGTTTTGGCGGCGTAGCCCTGCCTGTGCCCCGCCTTCGACTACGCAGTAGTCATGTGATGTGTCGCACTCGAGGGTGTGGCTACGCTTAAGCGACACTGCTTGTGAGGCGCTGGCTCCGCGGGACTAGAAACAGTGAGTTTTGACAAACGTTGTGCACTATGCGTATTTGATCTTTCCAATTCCCTACATCTACACATAGGTTAGGTCCCCACCGCCATGGCGTCCACTCAATTGTCACCGACGGATATAGTGGCTGCTCTTGATAAACTGACC